GTGCGGATATTTCCCCTGGTGACTTCCTTTGTCTGCAACTCAATTAGCCAGATTTTGTTTTTCAGCTTCCAAGCGTTTTCTATAAACGTTCTCATTAAAAACATTTGTGTTTTTAATGAGAAACAGGACGTCCATCCACATTTCCACTGGGCCACACTTGGTTGCTGTTCCACTTGGGTTTTAGGTCTTTGGATGAATCTTAATTGTTAGATTTCATTTCAGAACAGGCATGATTAGTTCGACATTGTTCTTGAGAAATGTGTGCCTGAGTTTGGGAGTTTTTAAAAGCAAGCAGAAGTCACTGTGAACTGTGGGATTCATGATTATTAATTAGCCATGATCCTTCACAACGTTAGAAATGATATGTACAGTATAAGACAGACATCAGTGTCCTTTATTAGTCATGAATGAGTAACCTGTCAGGATTAGCTCGTGAAAGAGATTTGGAGATCTGATTTATTAGGCCACCTCTTTAAACATAATTACTCACTAATTAGCCATTCGTTATTTGATTACATCACTTCATCTGTTAGCCATGGTTTAAGAGTTTATAAACGGGCTGATAAGTCATTGACGAGTTAATAAAATTCCTAATTAACTGATGTTTAATAAAGACTGCTCCTGAGAGAGAGAGAGAGAGAGTTGGGTCGTAAGTATTCATGAGCTTCTCTAATTAGTAATAAATTGCGTTTCTAACAATGCATCCTCATGATAAATCCCCAGTGATGCAGAAACCCAGGGAAGGGGCTGCATGTTCAGAGGACTGATGTGCGCCTTCTCGTGCTCTGCGCAGAGGCAGAGAGGCTGCAGCTCCTCAGACAGCTCTGCTCCTCTGTTCTGCACTTAAGTGGTCGGTGGATGCTGGTATGGAAAGTGCTTTGGAATAAAAAAATGCTGTAGAAATGCAAGGAATTAAATATGTAACAATAGGCAGGGGGAACAAACTATTTACGAATGTTAGGTGCTGTTAATCTCTTTTATCATTCGAAAATCTGTATGGGACATTTGCAATTTTCTCCCCTGATACCATAGATGGACCTTTCTGTGCTATGGTTTCTCATGGTTTGGATTGTTCTGTATAGGTTTTGCACTGTTCACCGAACTGCTACACTGCTTTTACTGCGGGAAAGTAAAGTGTGGGTCTGTACTCCAGGCAGTGATTCCTTGGGGACTCTGACGGGTCTCGGTAGGCTTTACTTCCATGAGAAAAGAGCACTCAGATTTGATTTCCAAGTCACACTGCTTTCATCCTCTATTAGAGACACTTAACCATTAGCCCACAATTATGTCAATAAGGCTTCTTGTAAGTGGTTTGTGCATGTGACCTCTTCAAAAAGGTTTTATAACTTCTTTGTGCAGCGTCTGCTGTTCTATTTTGTATTTCTTTTCCAGGCCGGCTCCGCTAAGGCGCTATAGGAGCTGCAGCTGTTGCAGGAGCTGCGGTCCGTGCCGTGTGCTTTTCGCTCGGCAGCGCTGCGCCACCCTGTGAGGGAGCCAACATGGACAGGCCCAGTTTCCAAGCACGCCTCTCACTAGCGTCTACGCATGCTGGAATGAAAAAATCTCCCTGCTTGAAAGCCATTTTCAGAAATTCTTTCAGCAACCTAGGAGCAAACACCAGAACTGAAAACACCCCCCCTCCCCCCCCGTAAGCGCTCCCAGCAGTGTTGCAGCGCACCAATCCATCGGCGGCGTCACGGCCTGCAGCCGCAGTGGACAGTGGGAGTACTGCACCCAGGAGCAGGCAGCAGGCACCCAGAAGGCACGGAGGCGCCGTCAACGTTCAACTGCCAGGGCTGTCCGCCATTTCATTTTTGTTTTTTTAGCAGTCTAGTG